CACCTCCCTCCCCACACCACCTCTCTGCTCCACTCCTCTTTGTCATATGTCATATGTTTACACTTCACTTGGTATGAATCTCAGCCTGTTTCTTCTCTACAGACATTGTGGTGGGGGGGACAGTGTAAGAGGCGGGAAACACGATGTTGTTTGGGGTCCCGTGTCCACGTAACTGCTGTCTTCCTATTCCTCCCACCTGCTCTGTCTCTCCAGGGCCCCGCTGGGGAATGGATGGATGGGATGACAGGTGGGAAACCTCTCCTGCCCATCCAGGGGAAGGCCAGCGTGGAGGGAAAGCTGCTAGTTGCCACTGGTTTCCCTTGTGCTCAAATATGACTTTGCACTTCCCAGTCCCCCATCTGGCTCCAGCGGCCAGACCCGTGGGAACTGTCAGGCTGGCCTGCTGGTGGCACACTCAGATGGGCTGAACTGAGGGCACCCAGGGGCTCGAGTAGCTTTCCAGATGTGCCCTCCTCCTTCACTTCAGGGGACCCCCATAGCCCTCCACCTTCCCGTGCCACATGGCCCGGTCCATTCCACGTCTAAGTTCCTGAGATCTTGACTAGACACATCACAACTTAATTTCCTCATGTTCGTTGGCATGTTAGATGTAGCTTTTTGGACCTCTCTTGACTATATGTGGCAGGCAGGAGGACAGCAGTGGGTAGGATGGTGGGTTTACGTCCCCCTTCAAAAACAAGCCCTGGCCAGGCACAGTGGCTCACACTTGTAATCCCACGGCTTTGGGAGGCTAAGATAGGAGGATCACTTGAGAACAGGAGTTGGAGACCAGCCTGGGCAACACAGTGAGACCCTGTCTCTGTAAAAAATAAAAATAAAAAATTAGCCAGGCTACTTGGGAGGCTAAGGCAGGAGGATTCCTTGAGTCTAGGAGTTGTGCCACTGCACTCCAGCCTGGGTGGAGTGTGAGACTCTGTCTTGAAAAAAAAGAAAACAAAACAAAGCAAAAAACCAAGCCCAGTCCCTTCTCCTTGGCAAATTCTTCATAACCATTCTAGTCTTCACTGGGCCTCCTCTTCTGAACCTTTAATCTATGCTCCCCTTCATCTATGGAAGTTCCTTCATTGGGTAAGACTGGATTCCTGCCGGGCTCGATGGCTCAGCCTGTAATCCCGCGCCTTTGGGAGGCTGTGAGTGGATTGCCTGAGCCCGCGGGTTCGAGACCTGCCTGGGCGGCGAGACCTCATCTCTACAATAAATCAAAAAACTAGCCGGGCCTGGTAGCACATGCCTGTAACTCCGGCTACTTGGAAGGCTGAGGCGGAAGGATCGCCGGAGCCCAGCAGGTCGAGGTGCAGTGGCTGGGAGCGGCCACTGCACTCCAGTCTGGGCGACAGAGTAAGACTCTGACTCAAAAAAAAAAAAAAAAGACTGGATTCCTGAACCAAATGGCCGATTCCTAGAGAGAGACACTCTTCATTTCTTGTTTGACTTTTGTAGCATGATCTTAAAGAAGGTCTTTGTTTTGTAAAAATATTGCAGTGCTTCATCCATTTCCCATAGACCTCTCTTAATTTTTGATACATCATTTATGTCAGCGGTAACTATGTGTTATGATGCTTGTTCGTTTTTCTCTTCTTCAGTTTAATTGGTCCCCCCAGATTCTCATTTTTTTCAGTGGCTTTGTGGGTGATTCAAGCACTTCTCCAACATCAATTTCATTAACTTCACTAAAATCTGCAGCCGGGCTCGGTGGCTCAGCCTGTAAACCCAGCACTTTGGGAGGCTGTGGTGAGTGGATTGCCTGAGCCCATGGGTTCGAGACTCGCCTGTGCAACTTGGTGAACCCTTGTCTCTATAATAAATCAAAAAATTAGCCGGGTGTGGTAGCGCGCGCCTGTAGTTCCAGGTACTTGGAAGGCTGAGGCGGAAGGATCACGGGAGCCCAGCAGGTTGAGGCTGCGGTGGCCGGGAGCAGCCGCTGCACTCTAGTCTGGGCGACAGAGTGAGGCTCCAACTCAAAAAAAAAAAAAAATCTGCGTGGGGGGCAAGATATGTAATTTCACTTTACAATTGGTTTGTACGATATTTGTATGGTAGTAGCCACTCATGACCAGCAGAGACTGACAAAGACTTTTGGCACAATGGGTTGGGTCGGGTTGAGCTGGGGCTAAGGTTAAAGTGTGGTTGGTTCATTAGCGAATATTTTTGTGTGATGCTGACTTTCACTTCCCAGCACAACCTGTGGGAGCTGGAGAGAAAATATTCATAGGAAGGACCTCTGCGCTGCCCTTCTGACACTCGGATGCTAATTATGAACGCCCCCTGATTTCAGGTTGGATGTTCTCCCTCCCATGGAAGGAGTCTCTGCATAGCTGCAGTCCAATCATATGAGAGGGAAGATGAGGTGCTTCCGGAGTTTACAGCTAATGAGTGGGGGTTCCAGGACAGTAGGTTCTAGTTGTCTAAAGAAGAAACTTTTAACAAGTAGCTTGTTTGTTTGTTTTTGTTTTTGAGTCAGAGTCTCACTCTGTCGCCCAGGCTGGAGTACAGTGGCACACTCACAGCCACCACGACCTTGACCTGCTGGGCTCAGGCAATCCTTCCTCCTCAGCCTTCCAAGTAGCTGGAACCACAGGCATGCACCACCATGCCTGGCCAATTTTTTTATTTATTGTAGAGACGAGGTTTCACCAAGTTGCCCAGACTAGTCTCGAACCCCTGGGCTCAGGCCTCCTCCTCCCAAAGAGCTGGGATTACAGGCGTGAGCCACCATGCCTCGCTAACAAGTAGCACTGTTAAGTTGGATGGGCTGCCCTGTGAAGAAATGAGCATCCTGTCACTTAAAGTATTAATGCTGGGACAAGATGGTGGGGAGGTTGTAAAGATATCTTCTGTGGCGGTGGGAGAGGGACTGGAGAACCCTTCCAAATCAGAGGTCTATCATTCTACATCTTTTGTACTATGTTACGAATTCATGAGGGCAGGGCTGGATTCTACTCATGGCTGCATCCCCAAAGCACCTCCTAGACGCTGTGATGGTCAATGAAGAGCAAGAGAAGGAGCATCTGACTGAGTGGGTGAGCCACTGAAGGAATGAACTAGCTCTCATCTTCCATGTGGTCCTCGGCACCCACTCTAGAAGCCAAAGCCAAGGTTAAGTTTCTCCTCAGGCCTTCCCAAGGGAGCCAGAGCAGAAGATAGGACCCTGGGAAAAGAAGGAGGGAGGGAGACCCTGAAAAGAGGGGCAGTTGGGTAGCTCATGAAGGACGTTGCAAGATTCTTGAGCACTTAGTACAGTGACTCCAACCTTGGCTGCACATTTAAGTCACCTGGGAGCTTTAAAAAAAAGTCATAATGTATGTATTGCACCCCTAGAGACTCTGATTTAATTGGACTGCGGTGCTGAGCATCGGGATTTTAAAGCTCCCAGGTGACTCTATTGCACAGCCAAGGTTGAGAACCACTAACTGACTACGTGCCAGGTGCTTTGCATATTTTCTCACTTAATCCTTTCAACAAGTTCGTGCTGTGTGTTAGGTCGCTGATTCTCAGAGTGTGGGCCCTGAACTGGCAGTCCCTTGGGAACTCGTGTTAGAAATGCAGATTTTCAAGCCCAACTCCAGACTTTGGGAATTGGAAACTCTGAGGTTGAGGCCCAGCCATCTGTCTCAACCACCTCCAGGTGATGTGGATACACGCTAGAGTTTGAGAACCATTGAGTAAGGTACCGGTGGCCCCCACTCACGGATGGGGTGGAGAGATTTCATTATTAGCCCAAGGGGACAGGGATGACAAGTACTACTAAGCTGAGACATGTCCCACCGCTAGTGGGGAGCTCACTGGGGTCTCTTACTAAGACTCTTTGTCCTCCTCTCTACTTGGCAGCAAAACTGAGCTCCATCTGGAACTCAGTTTCTCTTGCCCCAGGGAAGCAAAGGGCAGAACACCCCAGGATTTGTTCTAAAACAGTTTTATTAGGTGCTTAAAATAACTTCTGGCAGATGGTGTGTAGAATGGGGGATTGGAGTAGGGCTGCACATGACATTTACAAAGTTGTGTGTGTTTGTGCAAGCCCATGTACATGCACGTGTGCACAAGGCCCATGTACATGCACGTGGGCACGGGGGGTTGGAGAGGTTGAGGAATTGGGGAGGAGGCATAAAGGAGAAACAGAGCAGGAAGGGTGATGCCAATCTACCCAGGATTAAAGAGGAGAAGGGCTTTAGACTATGCACTTGGGTTTCCTATGCACTTGGCTGAACCCTCTGCTCTCTCTGGGAACATAGTGGTCAGACAGGTGTTGTTGACTGACTGGGTGAGCTCTAATGTGGTTCTCAGGGGTCAGAGACCCATGAAGCAGATATGGGGGAGTATAGCAGAGTTCCAGGAAGTTTGTAGGTATTGATGGGCTGAAACCTTCAAGCTTTGACTGAATGTTAAGAGTAGATACAGGAGCCCTTGCTTTGCAAATGAAAACACTGGGAATCACTTCATTTTCCTTATTTCAAAGGAAACATTGGCCAAGCATGGTGGATCACACTTGTAATCCCAGGACTTTGGGAAGTTGAGGCGGGAGGATCACTTGAGGATGGGGTTCAAGACCAGACTGGGTAACATAGTGAGACCCCACCTCTACAAAAAATTTAAAACTGAGCTGGGCATGGTGGTGCGAGCTTGTAGTCCCAGTTGCTCAGGAGGTAGAGGCAGCAGGATTGTTTGAGGTCGAGAAGTTTGAGGCTGCAGTGATCATGCCACTGTGCTCCAGCCTGGGCTATAAGAGTGAGACCTTATTTCTAAAAAAAAAAAAAGAAAGAAAGAAAGAATAAATAAAAAAGCAAGGACATGTCTATACATGTTCACCTGAATCTCATTTAGGTGCAGAGATTGTGATGTTCATCAGTCTCATCTCCTCAACAGACGCTCAAATTGTTGTGGGTGGCTCTGTCTCCCTTGGCAACTCCCAACTCTAGTCTCAAATCCTGCAGCTATGAGTATGATTCCTGGATCCTCTAATGCAGTCGTTCTTGACCTTTCAGAGTTTTGGACCCATGTCAGAATCTTCGTAAATCTCTGGAAACTTTCACGAGTATGTGTACATGGAAGAATCTGTCAACAATTCATAGAAGTCCATGGACTCTCCATCTTCACCTCCCTGGCTCTAGGGGAGGGCCCTGAGAACGATGGCCCTCCATCTTCCAGTAACTCCTCATCCAGTCCTACCCTAAATCAGGAGATCTGGGTTTACATCCCCCTCCACTGCTCGCTGTAAGTTGAATGGAGATAATGGTATCTCTGCCATTAGAAAGCAGGGCTCAAACCGGATGACTCCTTGAGGCTGGTTTCAGCTGGAAGAGCTGGGATTTTACCAGGCAACGGCCTTCAAGCTCTGGAATGGTGATGTACACACTCCTCAGCCTTGGCTCTTCTGCTAGTTCAGTACTACTCCCACATGTCCCAGGACCACACTGTGGCTCTTACTCCTACCCGCTGCACACCCAGCTCCTATAATCTGTATAGTCAGTAAGTAATACTGTCTCTCCTCCATTCACTGTAATTAGTACCTGCTTGTTTCTGTCTAGCATTGCACACCTGAGAAGAGTGCATGCCATCTGCTTCCTTGTCCTCGCCCTTTATGTGGAAGGAAGTGGGGTAAGCATGGGAATTAAAAACAGAAAGACCTGGATTCAAATTCCGGCTCTATCCTTACTGGTTGTGTGACCTCGGGTAAGTGTCTGAATTTTTCAAGTCTCAGTTTCCTTACCTGTAAAATGGGGATAGTAATAATATCTGTTCGGCCTAACTCATGGAGATCTTACTAAGAGCAGATGAGAAGGTAAATATCAATGAGTTTAGTACCATGCCACAGCAGGCCACACATTATTCTTATCATTTAGATTGAGCCTGGGTCTTTCTTCCCTCCTCACAGGCTGACAGTCTGGTCCTTTTTGATTTCTGAGGGTGGCAACTAGAAGATGAGAAGTAGCTCCTTAATGCTCCCTCAACCTACTAGTATTCTCTTGTTGCCAAGGAAGCAGCCATTTTCAAACAATGGCTCTTTCAGAGTGCTAATTCAGAGTGCCCAGGAGCAGGTCTTAAACCAGGTTTCTTTTTGTGTCAAGGTGAGGATGGGAGACCTTGGTGACAAGAGATTTCCACAGCCAAGCAGAGGGGCATTTGTGGGCTCTTTGGCTGGCGGCTGTAGCAAAAGGAAGTTAGAGGAGCACAAAGATTAGGAGTGTGTCGTGGTGGGGAGGCACTGATTCTCGACTGTAACAGGGCCATGGAAGGTCAATGAGAGATGGAACCAGCCTTTGGGTGAGGGTGAAAGGAGAATGGCCCAGGAGGGCACTGTGGTATGAGAATGAATGATACAGGCCACTTGGCTCAAAGGAGACCACAGGGACCACGTTTTCTAACTGATGTGATCACAGAGGCATGGAAGCCAGATGAAGCAGTGGTAGGAGGCTCCTGCAATCTAGATACTCGCTTGGGGCATGGCCTGGGTCAGTGTCAAGCATCTAATGAGCTTCTGACTTAGCCAACTTCTGGGCTCAGAAGCAAAGGAAGCCCATGGGCAAAAGCTGTTCTGGACTTAATTCTGACCAACAAAGAAGAACAGATTGGTGAGGGGATGATCAGAGGAAGCTGCCACAGAAGTTTAGGGTTGATTGGATCCAGAGAATGAGAAGGTGAGGATGCATAGTCAGACTTCTAAAAGGCATGCTTGAAAACTTGAGAGAGGAATTATCAGCGGTGGTCCTCAAGAGTATATAGTTCAAGAGGTTTTAAAACTGAAGTCCTGGCAATAAAGTTGCAAATTATCCTGAGTTAAAAAAAAAAAAAAAGGAGGGCAGTCTCTAAAAATAAAAGTGGCTGCATAGGGAGCTCCCCAACGCACACAGATCTTAGAAGTCCTCATGCGCTCAAAAAAACTTGAACTTACTTTGAAAGTATATACATTTGAATGCAGTAGACTGGTTACGACGGAGATTTTAGAGCCAGAGAACACTGGAGTTCTGATTCTGCCACCTACCAGCTGTGCAACCTTGGATAAACCAATTAACTTTTCTGAGCTCTAATATCTAAATCTGTACAGTGGGGCTAGGTGTGGTAGCTCACGTCTATAATTCCAGCACTTTGGAAGGCCAAGACAAGAGGATCACTTGAGGCCAGGAGTTCGAGACCAGCCTATTGTTTAGCAATACCTCATCTCTAATAATAATAAATACATAAATAAAATACATCTGTAAAGTGGGGATAGTACCCACTTGAAAATGTAGGTGTGAATGAAACAAAATGGTGCCTGTGAAATCTCTTCTACCATGGCTAGCATGTAGTAAATGTTCAATTAGTTAATCATTGTTGTCATTCTACAAAAAATAGGAGGCTCTCTTTAAAAAAGGGTAACCGTGGGGCTCAGTGTGGTGGCTCATGCCTATAATCCCAGCACTTTGGGAGGTTGAGGTAAAAATATTGCTTGAGCCCACGGGTTTGAGATTAGCCTGGGCAAGTTGGCAAGACCTCATCTCTACAATAAATAAAAAAATTAGCTGGGTGTGGTGGCATGTGCCTATAGTTCCAGCTACTTGAATGGCTGAGGCAGAAAGATCACCTGAGCCCAGCAGGTCGAGGCTGTGGTGGCCATGAGCATGCCACTGCACTCCAGCTTGGATGACAAAAAAATAAAAATAAAAATAAAAAATGGCAACTGCAAAAGAATAGTTCAAATGGGCAAGAATCAGAAATGGATAGGTAAAAGGACAGGTTGATTTGATACTTGTGAAACCTGGGAGGCACACACAAGTGTTCTTTGGGTAAAATCAAGAAGGAAGGTAGATGTCATGCTGGGACCTGTCAAGGCATTGTTAGTGGCTGACAGAAGTGCCGGATGGTGACTTGCTTGTGTCACTCTGTCTCCCTTGGAATGATGTGTTTTAACAACAAGCACAATTAAGATGGAGTTGAAGGCCCATCAAGATCATTCCTCACCACCTTAAATGAGTGTCAGTCTCACTGCAGGGCACGGATGGAGCTTATAAATGTGGTAGAGCCTTGATCTACACGAACTACTTTGAAGAACCACTTTGAAGAATCATGGGGAAATAGGAGTCAGAAGCCTGAGAATGAGTATATGTGGCTTCAGTTTCTAAAAACAGGGTAAAGGATAGATTTAGAAAGTACAGAAGCGCGTCCATCATCCATCCCTGGCAAAGTTCTAGAGATTACTTAACTGAGATTACACTTACAGTGGCTCTTAACTGGCCTCTCCACTTCTGCCCTTGTGTGTGGCCCCAAACCCCATGCTCTGTTCCCAGTCCAGCACCAGGGGCATCCCCTCAAGTCAAATCACGCCATGTAGCTCAGAACTCTCCAGTGGCCTCCCCTCCTACCTGAAGGAAAAGACAAAGTCCTTACAGCAGCCCAAGGGAACTGACATGATCGCCTGCTGCTTCTCTGGCCTCAGGTCTCCTGCTCCCTCTCACACCAGCCTCCTTGCTCTCACCTTCACCTTTGCTGTTTTCTCTGCCTGGATCATTCTTCCCCCAGATAACTGCTTGATTCACTCCTTCAAATCTTCACCCTCACAACAAAGGCTTTCATACCATCCTATTAAAGTTCCCCCCAACTCCCCATTCTCCTCCCTGACACTTTTTCTCCATCGCACTCATTACCATCCAACATATGATGTATTTACACTTATTTCTCTTATTCATCAACTTTCTCTCCTTCCTAAAATGCAAGGTCCATAGGTTCAGGGACTTTTTTTCTGTATCCTCAGTTTCTAGAATAGTGCCTTCCATTAAATATTCGTTGATTGGGAGAGAAAGAGAAAGATGGCTTGAGTAGACTTGGGAAGATTTCACTAGACGAGGGTGACCAACCATCCCAGTTTTCCCAGGACGGAGAGAGTTCCTGAAACAAGGAGATTTCAGTGCTAAAACCAGGAAAGTCCCAATTAGTCCCCTACACTAGACCAGCTGGTCTCAACTACCGTGATACAGCAATTAGACTGATGGTTCCCAGGAATGCCACACACTCACGGTAGCCTCATTTCGTCACTGCTTCCCACAAAGTCTGTGCTGACAACCCTACAGATGAGATGCAGAAATTTTGGCTGCAAGATAGTGCATTTGGGTGGTTTGTAGCAAGCTGAGTGGCCACACCAGACATGTTGATTAATGGACCAGTGTCAGACTGGTGGGAAGGCTGCAGTGGCGAGCCACAGAGCTGTCTCTCCTGGTCCAGCTCTGTTCTACAACCTTTCTGAGGTACACATGAGGACATAGAAGGCAGATGGAATTGGCCAGTGGCACACACTAGGGAGAGAAAACTAATATGCTCAACCACTGGGCTTGGTTTTGAAACTATCTCAATAGATAGAAATGATAGACCCTAAGCACCAGCTTACAATTTAAACAGAAATAAATATCATTTTCGATTTAGGATTAAAGGAAAAAAAGCAATCTGCAATGTAAAGAAGAGACCAGGCTTAGTAGCTGTTTTGTTTTAAATCCATCATGTTTGCCCACATGCTCGGTCTGGTGTGAAAGCTAAGACTTCAAATGCCACCCTAGACTCCTCCTCCCTGTTCAAAACACACCTGAGCCACGTGTCCAGCTCTGTGCCAGGGAGAGGCTGCTCACTCTCCTTTGCTCCGCTTTTAGCTATTCCAGGACACACAACCTACAGAGCGCCTTTTCCTCCACCTCTCCAACTTATTGTGTCCCTGCAGTATCATCTCTCTTCACAGGAGAAAAGACACCACAAGCCACCTTTCTTTCCCCACCTCACCTGACTTCTCTGGTGCAGCCCAACAGCCCAGGACTGGGGATTCAGATGAGAGATAGATTAAATCTCCATAGCTGATACTTTCCCCCCAGGAGAAGGGATGCAGCACGTGCATCACACAGCAGCTGGGATGCAGCAGTGCATCAAGCAGCCGAGTCGAGCCGAAAGCCAGAGTTGAATCCTCAGGGCTCGGTGATGTTTCCCTTTCCCCGGGGGCTCACCGTTTCCAGTTGTCTTTTAACTGAGGTGTCTGAAGGAAATGGGGGTAGCAAAGAGACCAGACGGGGTGAATAGTCCTAGGGGCTGGGAACATGCCCTTTTCCACTTTCCAACCACAGGCAAATGTGTCTTTTGAGCTCCCGCCATCTAAAGCCCTCAGCCCTCTGGATCTGCTGGTGGTCCCTGAGCCCAGGGCTCTTCAGGATGTTCTGGGGTGGCAGTGGAGGTGGTGATAAGGGTGTTACATGGCTTCACAGGTAGGGCTCTGGGAGCTTATTCAAGGGAACAGCATCTTGATTCTCCATGTCACAGGGCCAGC